GAAAATGGCTATTTCGTTTATTAAAGCGGGAAATATCCCCCCCCCCTCTCAGAGTGTTTACTGTCATGAACGGGGAGGTATTCGCTGTAGTATTTTGTCACATACAAAATATCCAAATTGCAATCGGAACTTTAGCACACATGTATTGGGTAAATAGTTTTAAAACACAATAAAGGCTCCCCGTTTTCCTTAACTCCCCCCTTACATCGTGTGACTTATTTTAAACACAGAAAAAAATCACCATCGCGATATAATACTTAGGCCCTACTATTCGCCTGAATAACAAACATCATTTGGCTCATAAACAGAAAATACGATATGCATGTTCAGTAGCTTTTAAATCCGATCTAGTTATTTCTAATTCTTATACCACAGGTTTTGAGTGTGTTTGATATAAGATTTCACTCATTTACAGTTTTTTCACATTTCCTCACTTGCTTCTGGTCATGCGTGAGAGATGAATATTATTCCACTCCACTCCACATTTTTCTATTGTACGAAGCACAGATTCATTACACTTGGATACCGTAGTGGGGGGGGGTCAAATCTCTCCGGGTTCAACAGTATTCAAAGTACGGTAATTAGCTCCATCAGCGACCCTTTCCTAAAGTTGCGATTGTAATCATAAACCCATCATTGCGGGGTTGATTCTTTACTTTTTCTAATTATTAATACTTTGGTATTTGTTTATCCGAGCGTGTCTCATTTTTGANTTTCCCCCCGCCATTCCGGAGCCAAGAGAACCAGTCACTTATCAAGTATCCGTTATAGATCCCGAAAGGTTAGCTTACACTCCTCCTTTTCTCCGGAAAACTCTATGACTGTGGAACACCCTTTGCCTATCTGTTCTTCGTGCCACCTACGCTACTATCTCTTCAAAACAAGAATATGTGATCTACATAAGGAGCGTCCTTCCTCATTAACACACTCAATTGTAATTGTTGTAAGAGTTAATTATCTGTATAAAAAATCGGCATAAGAAAGAAGACAAAATAATACTTACCTCAGAAGTATTTTAGAGTAGTCCAAGGCATTTCGATAGCACCCTCGGGTTCCTATAGCATTGATATATCGAAAAAGTGCTACAAATAAGCCTCTGATATGATTCGCAAAGCTGTAATTAAAGGATTTAGCCTCACCTATTTTCCTGTTTTCTGTAATCCAGTCGAAACACACCAACAGCCGGATTGAAAGACGTATGGAAGGCGGATTGATATGCGTGAAGTGCACGCTCTGAACAGATAGATTAATGTGAATAAGAGAAAAAACTGAGTGTACCCAGTAGATCCGTCCCCACCTCCGAATTGTCCTGGTGCATCATGATTTCACTCAACTGCAGTAACGAGTCAATGTGATACGGGCAATTGGCCAAAACTTGCTGAACAGAAAAATTTACTGATACAAAACAGAAAATACCATTATATTGTTCGGGTCCATAGTTTCCAATGCCACGTAGAAAGACCTTTGTGTGTTGTAGTACTCTTTACTATGAGTGAAAGTGAATTCCCCATCATCTGTACGAACCATATCCAGCCCGAAACGGACAACCGGTGGCCATGATGGTTTAATGCGAACCAGTAAGCCTTTCTTCAGATGACTTCTTCTATCCGCATTTTTGATAACACTCGGTTCGCCAACAACACGGGGACCAAACAAACGACTGAGTTCCTGGAACGGGTCTAACAACTTCGTATTGACAACGAGTAAATCTTTAAGGGAAGATGTTTCCTCAGGGTCCGCCTGTGTTGAAGGCATCTCCATATCACAGTCAGATGAGTTGCTTTCCACCACAGGACGTTCACGCCTCTATTTTCAATTATGAAACAAATATTCGACCCGATTGTACCTTTTTTGCATTATTCTTTTTTCTTGGTTTCTTACGATTCTTACTGGGCACAAGACTGGGGTTTGTTTGCTGTTCGGAATCGGGCTGGCAAGAACCAATAGCCTCGTTACTTAATTCGAGAAGACTGAACTAAAGATGAAATTAGGCATGTGACTTTGAAGTGGTAAGTTCAACCTTTGAGATAAATCGGTTGCTTGAACTGTCATCCCCAGAATCTTCAACGGTACCTTCAAGGATGGTAAGCTCATCAGATTTTTCTGTTAACTTGCGCAGTGCACGAGATGACATAGCTGAAACAAACAAGATACGAGATATCAGAAGAAATGCGTTAATACTATTGGAATATTGGAAATGGCAACGAAAAAAAAATACGTTCACATAATCATGGTCAACATTCCATGCAACACAGTGAGGCAAAACATACAAACCACCGAGGAGCACAGGATGTAAAAAAAGCATGTTAGGTGGATCAAAAGTGGATCGTCTTTATTCTAAACAGTGCGATCAAGGACTGGAGGGACGAGCCCGTTTTTAACGAAGATCTATTGCTCAGCTTATAGTGGTCCATCACGACGAGACTGCACCTTGGCGTCGTGTGATGGCTTGCGTGCCCCCATGACCCTGCGAGCTATACAGGCTACAGCTACAGGCCCCTCACAGCCGCAGATCCAATCATGCTTGAAACGTCAATCGGTAGAGGCCAAACGGAGATTAGTCTCGCAAGGCCAGCTGCTTAGGCACCTCCTGGCTTCCTTCTTCTATTCACACCCGCCTGTGGAGAGATCACTCCAGCAAATAAACACGGTGAGGGATAGTTTACCAATCAAAATTTCCCGCTAAATGGACGTAGGAGGGGGTATGTGGGGCTTCCTCTCGACGGAGAGAGGAGTCTTCACACTTCACGGGACAGCTACCGCCCGCCCAAGCTGGGCAGCCCCCAACCAATAAGGTGCTGTCCCGTCCACGTTCCGCTTGTTTCATTGGGTGCATTAGGTTAAGGGCTGATCCCGAAAAGGGGGCCAATAATCAACGCACCAGCGAACAACAAACTTAACCGGAATCCGAAAGCCTAGCATGACAGGTCTCCAGAAGCTTCCACACGGGTGCTTTGTTCACGCTCCCGCGTTGGGTTTACGACCCACTGTCTTGTGGGTCAGACTTTTGAGTCAAAGGCTCCGGTTAGGGTTCCCAAAGAAAAACCCCTTCGTCGGTGTGGGCTGCCGCGAAGTATGTCGTGCCCTAAAGTTTTAGGCACCCGTTTGGAAAACCCTCCNCTTCCCATCTGTCTAGTTCTTCCTCTCAATCCCGAATAATCCCAAACGCCTGCTGTTCACAAGACCCATCGGGTATCCCTCAGTGTTTTACCAAGAAGTCAAAACATCCAGAAGTTACAGAACTTTTGAAGCGGAAATCCCCCTTTCACCTAGCCACGGTCAATATCAGATGGGTTAACAAGCTGCCTAAGCTAGAACCCTTGAAACTTTCAATTTAGATGTATGCTGTGTCTCCGAAACACGCATACAAGACCCCACTTCCATTACCTCCCTGCGTTCTCCTGATCCAACCTCAACATCACACTTCACCTTTCGTGTGTCAGGCGATTCGGTGTCCGAGGCTCGCGGTGTTGCTGGTGTCGGGATTGCGCTAAGTGTGAAGGCTGAATGCTCGCTTCTTGACTGGATTCTGGTCAGTAGCCGACTATACGCCGTATGTCTCAACGGTTCAGCGCGGGTCAACAGCTACAGAACGAAGCGTCGATGTCTATTCGTCGTGTCGGTGTACGCACCGACTGACTGCAGTACACCTGAAGTCAAAGATGAATTCTACAAGGACCTTTCTCGATTACTCCAAAGCGTTCGATCAACGGACATCGTGGTATTGGCCGGAGACTTCAATGCTCAAGTGGGATCCCTGGACGAATCAGAAAGGCTTCTTTGTGGACCGCATGCAATCCCAACCAACCGGAGGGACAACAACGATTACCTACTTCAACTCTGCGCGGAACACGGATTGTTCCTGTCGAACACGAACTTCTCGCACAAGAATCGACACCGCCAACCTCTTCACTGCACTGTACCCATATTATCAGTTACCGCTGGAGGGATCGATTCAAGACTGCCGCTCTTACTGGTCAACACCTGTGGATACCGATCATACTTTGCTACGAGCCAAAGTCTCCCTAAGCCTGGCAAACAGCCGTAAAAATGACCCCGACAAAGGATACCCACGATACATAGTCAGCGATTGTTGCAAATCAACACTCAAAGTGGAACTCTGATCGCTTGTCAGTTCAACCACCAGCAGGACTCAATGAACACTGGAAGCGAATCAAGGAACCTATGCAAATATCAATATAAACGTCGGACCCTGCCTCAAGCTCAAGAAAGGTGACAGATACTCTTGTGAAAACCACAGAGGAATTAGTTTAATCAACATTGCTTGTAAACCTCTCGCTGGGATCATACTCCGTCGATTGTCTGCCGCACGTGAAGACTGCACGCGTGAGAACCATATATATTTACCACCGGCTTGTAGACAAGCATGGTGCCAACGCAACAACAATAATTACAATAACCATGAAAGGGGATAGGTGGATTGGAGTACAGAACATGGTGAAAAAGGGGTGAAACAGTTAAACACAGGAAAATGGAGGATACCTGGAATAACAAAACTCCTTTGTGTTTCACCTTACACCTTTTGACACTTTTTGTGATGTTTTTTACGGCCCACGGCATTTCGTCAGGCAGACCGTAAAGCATTCGCGCCACTAACTTCTATTCCGGGTCATATCTCTCAGCGTCTCTAACCATAGATAATCCTCATCCCTTGGGCCCCAACCTGGAAGGCGGGCTGCACCAANCTAGCCCATGTCATGGTCTGACCGCCGCGCCGCTTCTTTCAGCCTTGCCCGGCACGTGCAAAGAGAGCACGGAAAGGTAGTCGATGGGCAGGCATACGCAATACGTGACCCAGCCATTGGAGGCGTTGTAGAACGATTACTTTTGTTAGAGAACGACTATCCGCACCCAACGCACGACGACGGACCTCGTCATTGCTCACCCGGTGTTCCCACCAGAAATGAGCAATACTTCGGAGATATCGGTGGTGAAACACACAAAGTCGATTAGCATCCTCCGCTCGGAGAGGCCAGGTCTCGCAACC